AAAGGGATCACTCTTAAAATAACTACTTTGGCTGTGGAACTGTTTTGCAGGTGCATAGAACACTTACCTCCTCTTCAGCAAGAAACATCTTAACCTCAGCCATGTCTGAACAGGTTAAGACTTCAGCAGCAGACAATATGAGTGAGTATATGGAGCTGTGATGCTGTTTAGGTACCAGAAGCATCTTGGTCTTCCAGATTGGGTTGCCACTTTGACCAGTGGTCATCTTGAACCTGGACTTGGTGTTGCAGTAATGCTTGAAAGTAGGGGTGTCCCATCAAGGTCTCTTGAAAGGAGCAACACCTGAACAAGTGGGAGAAGCTTGTAAGCCAGCTGGTTCCTGATTTAACCCCTTAAGAGCTGGGTTAGAGAACATGTGGTAGTGCCAGCCCTTGGATCTGAATCCTGGAAGATTAATTGGATTATTGAATAAATGCAATGCCTCTGGGGTTTCCTTTGGTGCACTGGATCAGGGGCATGGGGAGGGCACCAACCATTGATGCCACTCCTCAAGAGGCAGCCCCATGCCCAGAGTCTTTAGCTCGAGGTTTTTTGATGCAGTGATGCTTCCAGAGAAAGCACACGGGGCTTGGCTTCTCCTCCTGTCCTGAGAGGTGCCTCATTTGTAACTAGAAGCAGTTTAATCTACATTGCTCATGACTAAGAAGTGCATCTCATTAATGAGAGAGGGGTCCATTCCTTTTGTGACCTGAGGTGCTTTGGTGGTGCAAATGGGTGGCTTTCATGGCTCAAGAGTATGTTTTTCCTGGTTGTGTGTATGGGTAACCTAGTGGTCTCCTTTTATTGTGCAGTAACCTATTGGTGGTGGACTGGATTGTGAGAGGATGGCTTTCCCCTCCATAGCAGGCTGCACTAGAAACCTTGATTGTATTATAATGCATGCAAAGCCGTAGAGGTTGTGAGAATAATCATCAGAGACCTAAATAGAAAATGTTGTGATGCATCCCATGGATCTCTTTTAATATTTGTGTTCATAGGTGTGTTGCTGTTTGGTGTGGACAGCTCAGGATCTGCCCAGATGGGACGACCCCCAGTTGACTACAATGAAAGTTATTATGACAATGCGAAACGTGTTGGAAATCTGAAAGGCTTCTCTCACATCCTGTTCAGTCCAACTGGGACAATGTTTGCCATCCATAATGCAGACATCTATGCAGGGTCTCCTCCAGTGAATCCGAATGAAGACTGGCTGAC